CAGCTATTTCTTATTTCCTTTTGTATTTCTCTATTTTTTGAAGAACTAAATTGTTTTTTATGAACAAATCTTTTTGTGTAAATAAACTAATAGTAGAAGCCCCTCTTGGTTATTATTTAAGCGCCGTACATGCTAAGAATAATCCTGTATTTTTTTTTATCGCACTTGTTACGGCATCTAATGGAACAATAAATAAATAAGAGAAGATCATTAATCGTTAATATACAACTGAATCTTTGCAACAACAGATGGCAGAATTAGGATTTAGTGAATATTAAATTCTTCTGGCGTTAAAAGGAGGTGGAAGTGGAAATATAGATTAAAGTATTGATTTTATTACAAGGAAGAAATACAGCGGCGTTACTGCAAAAAAGCAACAGGAGCAGTCCGACCCAAAAAAAAAGTATTAAATAAATACAAAATATACACAAAACTGATGAGGCTTCTTTTTGCTTTTTTAATTTATTCTGCAGTCTCGTCAAGTTTGACATTCTCAAAGAATTATGTTAAAATCTAAGAATAATTGATGGTGTAATATTCAAAACCGGTTAAGAATTTTGATTTTTAATTGTCCTGAAATAATGCGTGTACCCTTTTTTAGTTAATAAGGTGTATCGTGTAAAACATATTCCAGCTGCAATATTATAACTGAGTAAAAAATAATTTTAATAAGAATGTGATACCTTCTGCGTTACTACGTCTTTGAGTAGCTGCAAAAATAAAATTTTTCGACAGGGTAGCGGAAAATATGAATTATATCAAAGTATATTAATTAATAATAAACAGCATACATTCTACATGGTTACATTAATTTGATGAAAAAATTATCTGTCATTTTAATACCTAATTTTACCTGTTTTACAAGAAATCTCTTTCTCTGTTTAAATTTCTTTTTTACATATTCTATCTGATTATAATGATGCTTTACGTTATTTTTTTTTTACTTAGTTGGACATTACCAGAACACGCTGTAACCTACGATAATCCTTGGTTGTACGCGACCGTCCGGACGAACAGTTTATCTGCATTTCAACAGCAAAAAAGCTGTAACCGACGAAAACAGATAAACAACAAATTTATTCACTTTCATTAGTCCTAGCTATTAGCAATTTGATAAAAGAATTACGGGCGCATTTGTAAAACGGATTGTGTGTTAGGGATAAAAGACATAAATGATATTTATATTACAATTATAATAAAAAACAGAACTGTGCGGTCTATGTGTGTGCCTTGGTTGACAAACTTCGAACGAACTATTATAAAGTGGAAAACAAAGTTTTACTGTTTAAAGATTCACTTGGGAAAATAAGGAAAAAGACGCTAAATAAACTGAGATTGAATACGAGGTAAGTTTTTTAAAGTAAAGATTTGTTTTTTATTATGATTCTTGTCATTTCCCTTATACACGACATGCGCCTCATTTACGGTATTTCTAAAAAAGACAATCTAGAAATTAGAACAAAAGCATTTGTTTTATTAATATTATTTTGAGTAGGTACCATTTTATTAATTTTGCAAGAAATTGAAAATGTTTAGCTGACATTTAAATTGAGTTGAGGTCTTTAATAGAGATTACCTATGCCTCACTACGTGAATTCACACAAGACATCCATGTACATTTAGTCAAGTAGACAGTGACGAACTTGCACAATGCTTTTGAATTTTCTGCAAATATGGACTCATGTGAAGGTAGTGTGGAATATCATGGACATTTCATCCGATTTCTACTATCGAAATACATTCAACGTAATGGTTTTTAGAGTTGCTGATTATGAGTAAAATTGTTTTCGTAATGTACAGTATAAACACAATAAGATCTGTTTCTCGTGCATGTAGAGGTTCATGAGATCTTGAACGAGCTATACTTTTCATTTAACTCAACTAACAAATATACGTATGTATAAACATTATTGGTTTATCTGCAAAGACTTGATTTTGTTCGCGCAAAAATTTCACCAAAATGGCGAACGCTTTAGTTACGCACGCGTGAGACGATTGACCATTTGTTCTGCACTTTTTTTTAATGAACGTGGAATTCCATGACCTTTAATTTGATACACATATGTTGAATACACGTGTCTGCGACCTATGCAAACACTACCTTCCAATTGCTGTTAAATAGGTGTAATATACGTAAATAGAGTCTAACTCAATCAATTTGAAAGAAAGTCATAAAACTTTAATTGTTTTTGTGGCCGCCATTACGATTTCCGGCTGACATTTTATTAACTTAAGCAGTTATTTAGATTTTAAAATTAAGTTTTTGAAATTGTTATAAGAATATGCGTTTTAATCATTGTATTTATATGATTATTACAAATAAATAACTGAATTTGCCGTAGAAATAGTAGAAGTTATAAAGTCACTTCCCGAGTGGAATTTATTTTGGGAATTCCCTAACTCCAATTGGGTCCCTATTGGAGATTGTTG